GAAGGGACAGAACATTAGCACCCTTGTCCATTAATTGTACTCGTGCCCATCTCAGGCGTGTGTATTGAAGGTATCGGGGGAGTTTGTCGTCAACATTGTGAGTTTGACTGCAGATATTGAGTCGCTTGAGCAACTAGTGTTCTGAGAACTTTCACTTCGTCGCGCCTGACATGCTGCTGTCTATCGCCGAGATTCTCGTGGACGGCTTCTATGCTAGAGGTGGAAGAAGTTTATGAGGATACAGATACATTGGAATAGATCAAAAGAGGCTGGTAGTCTACAAGTCATTCTGGACAATCGAACAGTATGCGTATTAGAAACGCCTTATCAGACAATTAGAATAAAGATATTGACAGCGCAATGAGATCATCAGAAGGAATTTTTTGCTACGAATAAATGCACATAACGGATTCTAAAAAACTTTCAGCCGTTCGTTTAAATTTTTTAGTAATCCAATTCTGTCGATGTGAAAAGTGCTCTTTTGCTTCTCTTCTGCTTAGTTGTTATAGAAGCTCCGTATTGCACCGAACTCTCCAACCGTCGCGAGTGGATTTACTTATGGTACATGGCAATCGTCGTCTTCAAATTCCCCCATTCGCAGCTTTCACAATTAACAGAAAAGTCCTGGAACTGACTCTGTTCAATGCCAATAAAAGCAAATTCTAAGCTAAATAACAATATTTAAATTTCTCAATGTCCAACGCACAGTCTCCAATGTTTGACGCCCAGTTGCACTAGAAGACGAAATTCAACTTCGTCTTGTCTGGAGACCTGGATGCTCGCAATCTCAACGCGGTACATAGCCACATAACAAACAATGCGACATATTCCAATAATAGGAAATAGTTGTTCGATAACTGAATTACCTGAGGACTGGAAACATGTAAGAGTTACAAAAAGGGCATGTCAACAGCTTACCAAAACTGAACTTTGTACTCTTCGAGTAAAGGATGATGCTGGTTTTTCGATAATTCCCGAGAATTTTTCGATAATTTGTCACCTCAAGAAACTCTTTCCTAGACAGTATCTATAGGATACTCTACAAACTAAGAGAATACATAGAGGTTGAAGGAAGAGCATGAATCAATACCTGAATGGTGTCCCATGAATTCAAAATCACTAAACATCGTGGGAACAACTGAATTCTCATTTGGCCTTTACATTGATTTACCGTGGCCTACTTATCTATCAAGTTAGTACTATTTGAAAACTGAATCAAAAGATCGACTGTTTTTTGAAACCCCGGAAAAAACATTCAAAATAATTCTAAAAAAGAATGCTTTGAGCTTAAAAACGAGGTTGATACGCCAGGGTCATACACCGGTCTTTCGGAGGTTCGTCCTCCTCGTCAGTGACCCCCGCCCCACATTCAGCCTTGCATTGAAGCAAGGAGGGAGGCGTAAGTGGTGATGGCACAGTGTACAATGACACTGGTCCATCACCACCTCTCAGTCGATGGATTTTTTTAAGCTTAAAGCATTCTTTTTTAGAATTATTTTGAATGTTCTTTTTCGGAGTTTCAAAAAACAGTCGATCTTTTGATTCAGTTTTGATCTAACAGCAAAAATCCAATACGCCTCCCTCCTTGCTTCAATGCAGGGCTGAATGTGGGGCGGGGGTCTTTGGCGAGGAGGACGAACCTCCGAAACACCGGTGTATGACCCTGGCGTATCAACCTCGTTTTTGAGCTTGAAGCATTCTTTTTTAGAATTAGTACTATTTACTTCTCAGAGAGGTACGGGACCAGTTGAACTCCTCCAAGGAGTTGGGAGACTTGATAACCTTAGCGCGAATCGAACCAGCGAACGATGTAATGTACCGCAGAAATCTTTCAACAATCTCGTTACACTATTCCAAGAGTATATGCAACTTTTCTGAATTGTTACTGTCACTCTTAGTACATTTAAAACTCAAATATGTAAGTTATAAATTTTATTTTGATCAAATGAGAATCTTCTAATGTCTTTTTCACGATATTTCTCATCCAGATAATGCCATTTACAATAAATTGAGATATGCTTGTCGGAAATTGTATTTGCTTTCAAGTACAATAAAATGAAAAAAGCCATTCGATATTTTCAAGCAACTGGTGACTCTAATGAGATGGGTATGTGGAGTATAGCCTCAATGCTACGATGGATTTCCATTAATGGATCTAAGAAAAGGAAATCAAGGGAGTATAAAGTTTGTTTATGAGGAAGTGCAGAGTGAGCGAAAGGCCCAATAGTGCCTCACAGCCACTGTCCCATCAATGGCAATCAATCTGATGTTCATAGGTAATCTTCTCTCCACTGAACAGGAGTAAACAGATTTTTCTGAATTATTGATGCTGTACACCTGGTGATTGATTGTGGATTTGATAGATTCGGACTAGACAATGATGTGTCGTAAGACATGACAGATGTAATGAGAAGAGAATAATCATCGAATGCAATGATACTTGGGGATTATTACAAAAAAGTGAACAGAGCTGCGTGGGCTTGAAGTGTATCACATCATAACCTCTGGAATTCCGGCCATAGTCACTTTAGCGCACATCTTTAGTCTCGCTCCAGAAATGATTTCCCACTATTCAGAAAACTCAGGTCAGACCGGCAGCAGACCACCACACAGTAACTATAACCTTTTTGGCACATTTTCACCTTTTGGAAAGTGTTTTCGAGTTTCTTCTCGGCATAAGTATTAGGCTAATCGTCTCTCGTATCATATTCAATTGGTGTCGCACGTCGCAGTCCTTTTTGAGAAGTGGTTCGTGGTTGCTGCGTACAATAGAAAGGATGAATATAACAAATTTTTTCAAATAGGCTGAGTTCATGAGGCACCCAGTTAGCAAGCTTTTCACCTTTCCATTATGCTTCAATTGGCAGACAGCCGTAGATTGGTCGACGTTGAGTTCTTCTGCAGCATCTCGTTCAGCCTTAAGAGGATTAGCTGCGATGAGAGCTCTCAATTGGTCGTTGTGAACCCCATGGTCGCCTACTACGTTTCTCTTCTTTGAAGCTCTCGCTTTCTTTACTTTCTTCCTTAAGCCACCACTGCACTGTACGGTCGTTAGCAGTTCTTGGGACAGTTGCGCGTTGATGTTACGAGTTGCTTATGCTGCTTTATTATCAATTATGAACCCGAAGAAAATCTCCAATTTGCCTTCAGTCTAACATCCTTTTCATAGCCTGATATAAATATAAATTAAACATCAATTACTACGTCATTAGCAAGAAAACATAGAGCGAGATGTGCAGTATAACATAGCTACATCTTTTCATTATTATTTGAGCCAACATGTCATGTGGTTTGGTAAGGGCTCTTGTACAGCCCTAGACACGTGTTTCGTCCTTACAGACTCATCAGCCGGGCAGAACCCGTCGTCTGTCGATCTTTTTATAGTCAGTTCTCTCGGGAGCATCACACTCGTTATAGAGAGTTGTCGACGACGTACGTTTTACACTCTATGTCAAGCGAAGTTTTCACCTAACACAAAGTGTTTTCGCACTCGATTGCTAGCTGGCTGGTATTTTTATCATATTATACCTTTCCTTCGAGTGCTTTATTAAGACTACGCTCAAATTTCAACAGATCCTTTCATTATTGTTTGAGCCAACATGTCATGTGGTTTGGTAAAGGCTCTTGTACAGCCCAATAGCTAAATCTATTTACCATTTTCGAAATATGTCTCACAACAAACTTATTCGGCTTTTCGAGGTGTTTTGTCCTCATCAGAACTGATTGCTCTGAGTCAATGCTCCACGGTCGTTCGTTTGATTGTCATGTTCGCATTCGTTCTCGTTCTGTTCTGTTTCTCGTCTTCCCCAATAATCGCATGATTTCTACTAATTTCTACAGAATGAGTAGTTCAATAAAACGAAGTTCTATCACAGGGTAATCGCCTATCATCAACAACTATCCTGTAAAAATGGAGCAATGTCGAATCAGGTCCTCATTTGAAATGTGTTCCTCCGGAGAACATCCGAAACGAGAGCGAAGGCGAACACCACTACGAGAACGAACAACCATGGAACATCGATTCGGATCCATCACTTTCGGAGAAGGAGAAACGCATTGACACCTTAGTTGAATAGATCTGTTTCGCAATATTATCGCGAATCGTGGCTTAATCAACAAAGAAAAATATGATTGATTGATTAGTTCGAAAGGAAAGTTGGCAATCTCATCTATGAGCTAAATCATGAAAAAAGCTATAATGATTGATAACGTCAAGATTATGAATAGCCGGTTTTCAAAATATCATAACTATTTGTGCTAACTGGTGATAGTACCCGACTACCGCAAGATAGATTGCTAGGAAAAAAACAAAGCAGTCACTATCAACAAGTAGTTAACATACTCTATATCCTGTTTATAATGACATCGCCGAGTTATTCGAGCAATGCTTGACCGAGGAGAGTCATCTCGAACGAAACCACGGCGAAGATCTACAACGACGACGACGACTATGAATGAACTCGAAACATTGGTTCTGAAGAAGACGAAAGCATCTAAACGTTAACCGAGTGAACCTTATTGCTATATTCGATTGATAGCGCCGAGGTTAAAGGAAGGATAGTTTGTAAAACATATATGGTTCAACCGGTCCGAACGTGGTTAGTAAGATATGATTCTGTAGTAGAAGTGATTTCACTGATTCATCACACCATTGTTCTACACTCCTAAATCAAACATGTAGTGTTGAGAAAGCTAGCATAAGGAGATAAGCATGTGAGGTACTTATCGAATGAGCTATCAAATCATTTCACTTTCAGCTACCCTAGCTTCGGTAGTGTCGACCATCAATAAGGTGAGCAAGTTTGTATTTGAGTACTATCGCTTACTGTTGAATTTCTATCCATTGAAGGTATTGCAGATTTAATCAGCTTGGCTATTTAGTTTCAAGCTGCGTAGCTTTGTGCGAGATAGATGATGTTTTGGATGAAAAATAAGCCATAACAAGATTTCAATAATCTTCATGTATGCGTTGTAGCTTAGAAAGAGTGGTGGCAAAACGGGCGCCGGTAGTGCAACAGGTTAGAGCACACTCTTTCGGATAGAGTGAGATACGGGTTCAGGTCCCGCTTGACGCAGGCTTCACACATCAGTTTACATCACTGAGTGAATCTTCGTATAAATAGCCCTTCAAAGTAGAATGTGAACGAGAGACAAGAAATTGTATAGTAGAATTCCTAAAAGACACGAGAACTTGGTCTAATAACTTCAGTGGGACGTCAGTAGAAGTGACGATATGGATAGCAATCTCCATTAGTATTCAACATTGTCTTTTGGGTTAACGTAGTTGAAATTGACTAATTATGAAGCTTTTGAGTAATATTGATATTCAATACACACTAACAGCTAGAACGATCACTTGTTTCCAGTCTATTAGTTGGCAGATCTAAATATTAATTGATTCAATCGTCTTTCTGTTATCGCCGTTGGAAGAAAGTTCGTTTGTTAGTGAAAAATCTAAGAGAACAAATTTTCACAGACCGCTCCCAATATTAGATCCACGTCTGAAAATCGAAAGAATACAAAATTAAGTGAAAACTCTCTACAAACCATTGAGCAAGTGTAGATCCCACTGCTGGCCATGTAGTCGACATTGTGTCGAGAAGTACCAGTTTGTCCTAGATTTTTAACCATTTCTAGAACACTGCTATCAAAGAAGAATGGGCTCTCCTGTTAGCATTACTTGGATACGTGAGCGGCCACTTTTAAAGTTTCACTTCTTTGTTGTGATCTCTTTAGTATGATTGGAATGGGTATACTGTATAATTTCTACTGCTGAAAACCAAGCAGTCATCATAATTATTTTTACATGCGTATTAAAATCTCAAAAGGGTGAATTTTATGATATTGATCAATCCTAGAAGGATGCACCATCAATTCGACTTAATCAGTCACCACTCGAGGTGATAGAGTGCACTCGAGTGCATATCTGGTCTATACAATGACTGGCCAGCCGATGAAGTCAGTGCTGTTAGCCTTCCAGACAAGACCGGTAGCAGTACGTGTAGCCCAGAAGGATAGAAGGTGTGGTTGATCTTGGAAGCGGGGTTTAACCATCGACCACGTGCGTGTCGCAAGTCACCTCTAACCACTGCGCCACACATATCGTATTGTGTGCAACAGGCCTTGGAAAACGCCTAAGAGCTTCGTCTTGACCTACTCAGTGAAGCGATCAACGTTTACTGTTATATAGTAGTCACTTCTCATCATGCCTCGACGATCTGGGCAAAAATTCGTTTTCCTTTTATAAAAGAATTCTAAAGCACAAATAGCGAGGTTCCTTAGATTTCTCGTTCAGATAATGTAGCATCATTTCATAGTCTTTCCAAATTTTCAATATCTACCCTGAATCAGACCATTTTTGAGTGGTCGAAACCGAAATTTTTCTGTAACATGCAGCTTTCAAGTGATCGTCATCCAAAGTCAGTAGGTTCTCAAGACTCCATTCCTCATGAGAACTCACATAAGAGTTTTTTAAAACCATGCGCGCATTGCCTATTTTGAGTGGCTCCTTAAGACCTATACTCTGATGAAGTTTTGAGTTGTTTGGCTTAACAGCCAGGTTCAAACACTTTAGGCAATTAGACACCATATCTTTATCTTGAAAGAACTATTTCAAAGAGAAAAGTTTGTTAGAAGGGATATTGTTCAGAATGATACCGTACTACGATGAAAAGCTTTGTGCACATTTGAACCGTACGATGTCAATTTTTTCAAACTATTAAGTCATCTGAAATACAATAAAAAGTGAAAGAGAAGTGTTAACTGACGATGGTGAATGATGTAAAGATCTTTTATACTAATTTTTGAGAATGTGTAAAGCCTTACCCGAGGTTGGTACGTCAAGGCTAAACACGCGTGTTTCGGAGGTCTCGCCCCCTCGTCAGTAGCCCACTCCCCACATTAAGCCTTGCACTGTAACAAGGAGGGAGGTGAAAGTGGTGACGGCACAGTGCACAACACTGTATCATCACCACTTCTCGATGGATCTTTTATATTTGTGAATATCCTTTCCTTGGGAGCCAAGAAACTACACGATTAGATAGTGATTAAAATATCTGCTCAGAAAAGTTCAGTGGAGTTTATGACGCTTATCTACTTTACTATCACTACTAAACACGGATCATGTTACTTTATGCTGTCTCAAAATGCTATTTCAAATAGGGCATGCTCAGTAAATGTTAGATTGATAGCTGTCTATCCTTCACATTGCACAAGAAAGGACGTCTAACTCATTCGAATAATTCTAATTGATCGTATCATTGAAGCGCCACACCTATGTGTTTAGAAATCAGTCTACATTTTACGTAGGACCTGAGAAAGGTAGGGCACCCTATGCTTTTTATGAGGCAGTTGTTTTGTTGTTCAGTCCTTGTAAAGGAAAGATGGGAAAGAGGAAGAAATGACAGGCTAACAGGATAGCCATTGAGGGACAAAAATCAATTCACTTTTTATCGTCTATGGAAGCTACAGCGTTCCTACTGTCTGAAATATATTAATCGTAGACAAGTGATCTAGATAAACACTTAGGAATTGTCAATACTGCAGCCATATCCACTTCCTTTTCAGCGATCAAAATTTGTGAGAACGCTGTAATTCAAGTGATCGGTGTACTGGCTCAGTCGCACTTGAAACCCACCTTTCGAAGACTTATTCATACTTCACGACAAGCCACAATTCAAGCTGCTGCTGCCAAGATTAAGCTATGACGGTTAGTGCGGCCACATAAATTAGGTGTAGTTCAAGAGCTAAACGGGAAAGCTTTCTAGTCTAGTGGAACGGTTCGAATGCTCGATGCCGACGAAGAAGATTATCCAGAGAGTAAATGGTTCTTCATCGTGTTAGCTGCACTCGTGATCACTATATGTTTTAATATTACTGTGCTTTCATACAGGTGTTTTATGTTTCTTTGAATTGAATAATGATGGACAATCTCCAAAAATGCTCCGAAATAAGATTCGAATATAATGTTGGGATACTTTTTGGTTATAAGGGGACAAATGAAAACCCGACTTCATCGCTGAACAGGAACTTTTCATAGGTGTACTAGTAATTATGCAAAAGCTGAGATTTCTGGCTACAGCCCCACGTCATCAGATTTTTTGAGCACCCTTTTATAACGCTGTGATAGTCAAAATAAACCTAACCTCAGACGCGCATATCTTTCGCCGGACAGAGCTCTTTCTTGGGACTATTATAAAGCATTCGATAGCGTAATGTTTACTGATTCCAACGTTGTGCTTATATCCTGAGAAGAGGGTTCTCCGCAACGCAGCAGATAAAATAATTTGAATTCGCTTGCGTGATTAAGGTGGTCTATGGCCAGTTCACTCACCGCTGAGTGAGATGATCATGTGCGCTGACGCGAAACTCAATCAGTCCTGGACCGCTCTTACGATATCGCATCAGTGCGCGTGGCCACCTTGGCCGGCGGCACGTGAATTGTTATTTTACCTGCTGCGATGCAGAGACACGGTCTTGTCAGGATATAAGCACAGCGTTCGAATTAGCAATCAATACGCTATCGAATGTTTAATAATAGTCCTATGAAAAGCTCCTGTCCAGGAACTAAGATCGGTTTTCATTTGTACCCTTATAACCGACATCGTCCGAAAAGTACCATTGTTGGTTACAGTTGAGCAGAAATAACCGTGCAATGAATTTATATAGGTTTAAGAGACCTTCATTGACTGATAATTATACGTTGTTCACATCAAACTTCTTTCTAAGAAACTTCATGTTCAGACATTATGCCGTTATTCGTCGCGAAAAACTGGACAGAATGAGTAAAAATAAGGAGATAGTGACGGTAATACAATGCTTCATCAATGTTCTCAAAAAAAAAAAAATCAGTTCATTTAGGAAACATGGTATCTGGAGAAAGAAGTTATTAAGAAAGAAGCAAAAAATCGCCGAAAGAAGAGAGAAGCTGCAAAGAAACTTATATAAATTAAACGAAAAGCACTGCTTTCATATGTTTGTAAAATAGAAGTGCTTGAATAATACATTCTGTAATTGCCGTGCTTTTGCTGAGGAAACTGTGAATTTGCCTATTATGTTAGCCAATCTGATGACTTGAATATCTCCTAATCGAGCTTTTTGCATAGCTGACGATGCTGCTTGGCAAGTGATCTCAATCATTGAAGCAATATGATTATTTATTTGATGTATATAAATGCATTATTTGTAAATATGGCTCTTTCTGATTATGGGGAAGAAATATAAAACCAATTCCATTCGCTGGAAAGGGACTTATCATAGAAGTCTTATTAACCACTCAAGAGCTGAGGCTTCAGGTACAGCCTCACGTCGCCGGCTTTAAAAACACCCTGTAGAACGATGTAGCACCTAGGAAAAAAGCTACATTTTATACCCACCGTGCGCCTTCGTTCCTATTTGTGCGTATAGTTTGCTGAAAGCACGAAAAGCATATCAGCGTGCAGAGAATTTCGTTGTATCAAAATCATACGTTTTTATTCGAAGATTTGTTTATGCGGTGAAAAACCCCCAATTCCCAACCATTCTAGAGGACTGGACGGTAAAGAAGGTCCCCACAAACGTAAAATTTGATCAAAATCCCCTGCTAAATGGTATCTTCAGAAAATAAGCACAGCGTTGAAATTATCGGAACATGCGACATTCAATGACTACTAACAGTGTAAAGAAAGGCACTGTGCACGGCGAAATGCAAAGCACAAATATTCTCTTTCTCTTACAAAACTATCAAAAGAGCTGTTCCAAAAAGCAAACGCATTTCTGAGTTCTTTGAAAGTTGTGCTATCGAATGAGTACTAACACTCTGAGGAAGGAGTTTTGCCAGCGTAATGAAATGCTATAAGAAAAAAAAAAAGCACGCGGCTTTGTGAAACATAATTCTATTATGGATTTTACAGCGTTATAAAAGGATGTTTCGAAAAATCGACCACATGTGGCTCTAGCCATGGATTCAAGCTTTCAAATCGTTACAGCACCCGTACGAAAAAATCCTGTCCAGCAAGTTAGATCGATTCTTGACTTGTTCTCTCATAATCAGAGAGAATCACATACATATAATTATATTATTTATTTATATGTATAT